ACAATAATGAGTTTGCCATTTTGGCTTCTTTGAGGAAGCCTATATATATGGGATACACACTCAAAGGGAGGATATACCCAGCTGTATTACTTTTTCTGTGTTTTTCCTATCGATATTTTTCATATATTTTATCTATATTTCAATAATTTGGGCAATTCGACATTGGAGACTAGGTCTTTTTGCCTTCTTATGGTCATGCACATAGAGGAGACGCCACTGAGAACTGATTGGGTTGTTTCTTAGAGTTGACTAGCACCGTCCGCACCTGCACGTAGGGGAGGGCTATCAACTTTAGGTCAACGTATTTATCACGTGCCTCTCTATATCAGGCCAGCCTTTCTTTAACCTTACTTTTATATTTTATTTGTTTTATTTCATGTCTTTTATATGTAACAATTATATTTAAATTGTGCATTCATATATATATATGTAATGACCTGGTTTTTTTCTTCCTTTCATTTTTCTCAGATTTTTACGGATATTTTTTTTTTCGTTGTCTTTTCTTTTATGTGTTCGGTTTTTCATTGCTTGATGTTGTCACGAGTGCTCTGGAATGATTTCCGAGACTCTTTTCCTTGTATTGACAACTTCCTTTGAGGATTGCGTCATTTACACATTTTTTATTTTTCTAGACACTATTAACTTTTCGTCTTTTTCTCGTTTATCCTTTTTCCTTACACAACCTCACTTTTTGTGTTCGGATTTGATTTCGGTTTTGCATGCATCCACAATATTTAAATTCCATGCAATGTGTATTTTTACTTTCTTAGAAAACCATGCTAAATGTTTACTTTTCTTGTAAAGGGTATGGATACATACTTTATTGTAATTATTCTTAACTTGTGGGTTTTTAGTGTAATTAAATAAAGTAATTATTTTTCATCTTGGGGACCATTTTGTAATTTAATTTGGAAGATATTTTGGAAAAGGACCTTTTTGTAATTTTTGAAAAATGTGACAAGTGTCACATTCTCATGGTGCCACTTTTTGGCATTGGGGTGGAGTGACTTGGATGCATCATTTTGTGACATTTGGAGGGTGGAGATTCACCCACTTGTTGGCTTAAGATTGGTGAACTTGTTAGCTTAGATGGTTGACAAGTGTAGGCTTGAGATTAAGCCTAGGAAGGAACCTTGGATTTGTGACAAGTGTAGGTTCACAATTAAGTCTTACAATTATTTTTGGGCTACTTTGGGATTATGGTTTTAAAGAAGGGTTTCTTGTGCAATTGACCAAACTTGTGTGTGTTGACCATGGTGTAAGATCACATAGTGAATGGAGGATTTCTATTTCCTCCACTCACACTTCATTCATTGTTTTCATTATCTTCCTCACCAAAAACCCTAGCCTCCATAGATGAAGCGTAAAGCCCTAAGCTTTGACTTTGATTTTTGAGAGCCTTCCATTGATTTCCAAGCTTAACCTTGAAAATACTTTTTGTTCCCCTCATCCTCCTCTTCATAACCCTTGAAGGGTTTGTCATTTTGTGTTGATTTGCCTTGGATTCAAAAGGAACAATCCTCTTGTGAGGTAGGGGGTGTTATAATTTATTTTTCAAGTTGTTTTGCTTGCTTTTATATAAGATATAAGTTGTATGCATGTCTTATATTAATTTGAGAAATTAATGATGTATCATAGTTGCTGATAACTCATTTTAGACTTGATATATGGTATGACCATGATTTAGTGCTTGATGTATATTAATTTGAGATCATTTGAATGACTTTTGAAATCTAGGGATTTAATTGATTTAAATTAATTAAATTCTATTTGATGATATCTTGCTCATCTTGCACTTTTGATTTGATATATGTAAAACCATGATATATTGTTTAACATATGTTAAATTGAGGTTATTTGAATTTGATTTGAAATTTAGAGAATTTACTTATTTTGTTTAATTAAATTCTATCTAGTGGCTCCATAGATCTATTTGTGTTTTAGAAGTTGTTTCTATATTCAAATCATGGACTTGGACTTGTTGTGTATTCACTTGGTTTTGTGCTGAGCATTTGATAACATTGTTGTTATGTTTATATTCATTTGAACATGTTTTCTTTATGGAATATATTATTGCCTTGTGTAATGAATTGTACACTTTGTAATTGACATTATGTATGCCATTTTAGAATTGAAACTCTAAGGCATGAATTGTGTGGTTTCAACCTACTTGTGCATGGAAGGTGGTATATATGCCTTAATATTGTGTATAAGTTTTGAACTTGATATATTTTGGATTCTCTTGGGACATTGTTACAAGTAACATGGCTAGAGTTTGGCTCTAGTGCGGGAGGTATGAATTCTCCCCATTTATAGTGCGCACTAGGGTGGTCTTCCTAGTGGGTTAATGCCCGGAATAACCGTTTAGGTTTTGGCATTATCCAAGGCATGATGTCCAAGTATTCCACTATTTGATTTCGCATTCAATTCCAAGTTGACAATCATGTTTAATTGTGACTTTTGGTTTTGGTTATTGGCGATTTGATGCTGTTAAGTACATCTATGCTAAATTGTCATATGTAGTTGTTTTCGTACTTTAGATTTCAAGTTGATAACTTTGAGAATCTATGTCTTGATGCATTGCATTTGAGATTCTAATTATGCTAAATGGTTATATTTAGTTATTTTCGTACTTTAGATTTCAAGTTGATAACTTTGAGAATCTATATCTTGTTGCTTTGTATAGCATGCCTTTATGTTGTTTGAGATTGCATGCATGATGTGGTTTATACTATAAATGTTTTAAGGTAGTTTAGGATGCTCCTTGAGTCTAACCTTTGACATAGACGTTAGGTGGCATGACCCTTTTGAATTGTTTTAAGTCAATGTAAAAATCTCTAAAGAAATCGAATCATACATGCTCATTCTCTACGAGTAAATTTGTTTACTCACCTCGAAGTTTCTGGGGGGTTGTTTCAGGTACGAAGACTTGGTTCGTGATGTTCATCATTGCTTGGATGATTGTAGACTTGAAGGTTTTTAGTTCTTGTAAAGGTTGGCTTGAAATGCCACTTGTAGCATTTTTATGTCAAAATGTGTATATTTAATTCCATATATGTAATATGTACATGAGTACACTCTTTATAATGTATTTGACATGTATGAGATGAGGCCGAAGGCCAATGACATGTAATTTGTATCTTATGTGATTTTTGACTTTATGGAATATTATGAAAATATTGAAAAATATTGAGTTATTGCTTCACCATGTTTGCATTGGGTGTGGGAATTCTATTTTGATTCTTTCATAGGATCTCATTAATCATGTATGAAGTATGGCTAAGGGCCAAATGGTATTTTGAAGCCATTTCATAATTTTGAATTCCGAGTTTTCATTTCAAGTTCCATTTTTGTCATTTTGGCCGTTGAGGGGTCGGATTTTGTATCGGTTGTATTTTTAAGCCATGGACCATTGTAGCGCATCCAAATAGGAAAGTTACGTATACGTGCATAGTCGTTTCCGAGCAAAACCTCATACTTTGTGATTTGAGCCTTCTATGGACTTATTTTGCGTTTTTATTGCATAATCTGATATAGGGGCATTCTCGACTTTTACTATAGTTTCATTTTATTCTTTCAATATGGTTGAATAGAAAACATGATTTTAGGGGGGGTTTCTTCTTCATGCTTTTCCAGAAAATGTCGTCTTGGTACCGGAAATCGTTCACAAAGTTCAGCTTTCAGTTTTGCATTTAGCAGCTTTTTGGACCCTCATGACCTGATTTCATGGAGGGGCATTTTGGGTATCTTACAGTGAGTATTTTTCGATTCCTTTCAATTGTCACGTAGAAAACTCAATTTTGAGCGGGGTTTCTTCTTTATGTTTTTCCAAACAATGTCATATTCGCTCTCAAAAATCCATTTTTTGACGAAAAACCCCTGCTGCCAGGTTTTTAGGTTGGGCATTCTGGTTTTGACCATCTAACCGGTTAGATGGGATCTTGTAACCGGTTAGACGAGTGTGGGCAGTGTTGTGGTCTTCATTTTTAGCCTTCTAATCGGTTAGATGGGCTTGGTAGTGTTGTGGTCTTCATTTTTAGCCTTCTAACCGGTTAAATGGGCTTGGTAACCGGTTAGATGACCTAAGGTTGACTATTTTGACTGTTTTACCCCTATTTCTTCCGTTAGCCATATCTTTCTCATCCGGACTCCGAATCAAGTGATTCTTGAGTCTAAAGTCATTAATTTTTCGTTGTCTTTCCAATGGTGTGCTCGGTAGCACCCACTTTCTGGTTAGAAATGACCATTTTGCCCCTAGGCCCATTCTTATCCATTTTTGAAACGCCGCTTCCGCATTTGTTTTTTTTTGGGTTCCGTAACCTCATTGAGTGTTACATTGGTGTCTTATAGTTGCGTGGTATCTCTAGAGACCATTGTTTCATCTTTTACTTTCGCATTTCAGATCCGTTATCGGGTCATCTTTTAGTCATCACTGACGCACCGGGTTTACAAAACTTGGGCCGTCACAATATATTTGTGTGTGTGTGCGCGCGTGCATGCAACTAATATCATACAAAACTACCATATTCTCATTGATTTAATTTCTGCAAAACTTACTTTAATTGTCAATTATATTTATATAATATTTTAGTGTGATTCGTTTATAATATTTAGTGCATAAAATTATATGTCCATAACACTTTCTTGTTTCTTTTATAGTGTCCGTGCATTGCCCTAATATTTTTCCCTTTATGCCCATGTCTTGTTGTTAATGGGCCATCTACTTGGCGGGTTGGCTTGACCCACGTGGCGAGGTAAGTTCGCCTGGGTTAGGTTTACATTTCTTGGGCTTAATGTTTGGGGCTCGGCCCATCTCTTGGGCGTCTTTTAATGCCCATACTTGTGGGCATATTTACCCTTTCAGCCCCCTTGGGCATTGGATACCTTGGTCCAGGGCTGTGTTTAGTTAGCAAGAATAGCAAAACCCAAAGGAAAAATGAAAATGATAGAAGAAAAAATGTATTTAGTATATTAAAGCAAAAAATAACTTGCAAAGCTTGTCAAACTAAATGAATCGTACCAGTCAAGTTGTTCCCCATAAATGAAATCCCTTTCAAAGAAGTAATGTTAAATATGGATGATGGAATGCGACCAATGAGGCGGGCATAGTCTATCGATAATAACTCCAAATTACGAAGGTTACCTATGTCCTCCGGAATTTCACCTGCAAAAAAATTTATAATTTATGTACACAAATTAATTTTGATATTATAGTAATAATATAAGTATATAACAAATGCTCTCAAGATTCAAACCGGTTTTCTCACACTTAATTATCATCGATATAAAACATTTCATTTTAATCATATAATTATAGATAAACAAAACAAAATATGTGGCATGCATTTTTTTAAACCTGACAAGCTACAAACTCACTATGAGAGCACATTAATTCATAGACTTATAATTTTTTTTTCTTGAATAATTAGGTGGAGAGGGAATCTAACACAGGCACACTAAATTGATCATAAACAAATTAAAGATAGTATATGTAAGAGTACCTTCCAAGTTGTTAACGCCAAGAAATAACCCCGTGAGCACAGTTGAATTCCAAATACCTCTACGAATGGGTACATTGAATTTGTTATATGATAGTGACAAAATTTGAAGTTCTGAGCACTCATATAAACTTGATGGAATTTTGCTATGTAACTCATTGAAAGATAGAGGAAGCCATTGGAGGTTTGCAAGACGATGGCACATATCCATTGGAAGATTAGCAGATAAGCTATTGTCCGCAAAAGCAATCGCTTGCAGCGATGAGATATTGAAGATGGTTAGTGGCACAGAGCCTACAAACTGGTTATATTGCATGTTTAGAATCTTCAGGTGATGAAGATTACCAACCTCTTGTGGAATCATTCCATGTAGAAAATTGGAAGATAAATCCAAGTTTTCTAACATCGATATGTTGGAGAGGAAAGGTGGGATAGTACCTGTAAAACTATTGTTATATAGAATTAACTCTTGCAGTTCAGCTAAGACACCCAACCATGATGGAAGTTGTCCACTAAATTTGTTAATTTCCAAATTCATGAATTTCAATCGACGCAGATGAAATAATTCATAGGGCAGATGACCACTGAAATTGTTGGTACTAAGGTCGAGGGAAACGAGAAATGAGAGGTTACCTAGGTGTGGTGGAATTGTACCTTCAAGAGCCATGTTAGAAATATTCAAGGATGTCACTCGTAGGTGGCGGGTGCCGCAAGTGATCGACCCCAATCCAGTTACAAATAGAGGTAGCTGTGGACCAATTGTTAGCCAAGACACCACGAGAGTTGACAGTTATGTGGGCTTTCAAGGCAACAAGAGAAGATTGGTCACTAGTAATGTCGGTAACACTCCCAGCTAAACAAGCCAAAAGACAATGCACTAACAACACTATATGGAAAAGGGCAAAGCAAGTTCTCTCCATGAGTGTATGTGATTAATTTGGATTAATACAAAAATGATGGGCATGCAAAACATAGCACAATGAAATATATATATATATATATATATATCACATAAATTTTAGCTGTAGTGCTGTACTGAAAAAAAAATGGTAAGGTCTGAGTCTTGCACTTTGACAGAGATTGGATATGAAAAAATGAAAGGTCTAAATTATTCCTTTAATTTTAATGGACGGCTGGAAGTGGTCATCCACACTAGAGAGGACTACGTGGAAAGTTCATATCAACCCTCATGATTAACCGGCACCCCTATCAATATATTAGCGGCCTCGATAAGATAATTGATTTACACAAATTTCTAAATGTAAATAATTCTTTGATAAAAGTATCACATTATTATTATTAAATTAGTGAAGAACCCGCCGCCGCCTTCTGGGTGGATTGTTTGGCCACATTGCTTGGTTAGCTGTCAGGAGCAGGCTTTACACTTTGGATTTAAAGTCAATGCTAATCAAACATTACACAAATGCTTGTTACATGTGTCTCGTGAAAAGTAAGGCTGTAAATCAACCAAATGTTTGACAAACATTTCACGCTTGCCTCGCTAAGAACTCGATTTATGTTCGTTTATTTAATAAACAAATCAATCTCTAACAAAAATTTTATGTTCGATTATTAAATAAACCAAACTCAAACATATCTTAGCTCGGCACGTTTGTTCATAAAGATTTTCGTTATCAAGTTTGTTGAACAGCTTGAGTTGAGTTGAAATATATATATATATATATATAGAGAGAGAGAGAGAGAGAGAGAGAGAGAGACTATTTTAAAAAGGCTTATTATCCACTAAATTTCATTTTCATTTATAGTAGGAAGTCCATCCCAATCCAACAACATAATTATTAGTATTACTACAAAAAGACAAAAAAATTAAATGAACAAATAAATAAAAGGAATACAACCCAAGCCCATCTCCATTGCCTGGCACAGCGTAAACCCTATCTTGTTACCTTCTCTTTCATTATTAAATAATTCACGATTGTCAAAATCTACACTTGAGTCAATGGTTCAGTGCACAATTTCAAAGAATCACATTTTCCACACGTAATAGAATGCAGAGAGGGGCACTAGCTAGAAGTGTCCCATGGGCTAAGACGGAATAGAATGCAGAAAAGGGTACTAGCTAGAAGTGTCCCATGGGCTAAGACTGAATAGAATGCAGAAAAGGGCACTAGAAGTGTCCCATGGGCTAAGACTGAATAGAATGCAGAAAAGGGCACTAGAAGTGTTATTTGAGCCAGAAGTCTTCCATTGTGGATCCACTGCTCTTGTCCAACCCACAATTAATGCATGGTTGGTCGAAGTCTTGATTTGAAAACTTAGGCTCAAAAATTATTACTTATAACTTTAAAAATTCAGTAGTCAACTATGCATATTTTCAAATAGGTTACCTCTTTCACTATTAAATTTGTCTACTAATCTTTTCAAACTAATTTTAAAACTATACAAAAACAATATTTAAATTACTTTACTTTTAACCACACAACAAATTATATTATCATAATGACACAAAATACAACTGTAACAACACAAATGTTTTAAAACATAAAATAAATTTAATATAGGCCCAACACGCTCATACAAATTACTTTAACTACATACTAACCTTGAAGAAGTTTGTCGTTGGTTATTCGAATTCTCTTGTTATAAGGTTCACAACCACTATCTGACAAAAAATTTCTCCATTAGAGAATTGTTCTGAATACTCTTATACAAATACCAATGGTTTATTGGGTTCCACAAACAAGGAATGACAATTCACAATATATAACAGAGTAAAGTGCAAAAACCCTCCTGAACTATGTTTGAATTTGTAAATAAAAATTATATTTTGTTTATAAAACTCCTTAAAATATCACATTTTGTTACAACATACCCCAAAACTTATACTATATTTCATTAAATTACCATAATGTCCCTCTTATTGAATTACATTTAATATAACTTTCTTATCTAAATAAATTATGAAAAAAAAAAAAAAATCATACTAATTTGATGGCATATTCTCCATTAAATTTGCTTAAATTTAACTTTAATTTTTTAAATTAATTATTTAAATAGAAATATTTAGTAGCAAATTTTTAAAATAATTAATTGAATTTTAAATTTTTAATGAAAATATTAGATGAAAAGAAGGTATTTTTTAAAAAGGTATTTTTTCAAAAATATTTTATTAATTTTTCATTAATATATTGTATTAAAAAGAAGATATTTATTTACGATAAAAATGTTTAAATTGTATTAGCAGTTTAAAGATTCTCTTTCTGACTCCTTTTGGAGCTTCTAATTTTTTTTAGTGAATTGATACTTTATGTCCGGTTGTGCTATGCTTTTTATTTCATCATTTTCGTCATCATCATCACCCTTGTCATCACCTACTATAGAGTTGCTTTATCCCTTCTGTGAGGTTGTATTACTTTATATAACTATATTGATGCATCGAAATATTCAGTTTGCACAATGATTCTTTCTATAGGTAGACTAGACCATATCTTGAATGATTTTCTAAGTTATTCATTAGAGCAAAGTTTTGATGTCACTGAGACCAAATTTATGTCCTAACTGCTCGAATGGAATCATAATTAATATTTTCTGATTTTAATGGATTTGTGACGACTTCATTCGAAGTTAACCCTTTAACATATCCCCACTTCCATGGACAACGTGATAATCAAATTAAATAAATACTTGGGTAGAAATATAATCCATCCCATTCCAGTCAAACCGCGTCGACTTTGATTTTGTTCACTTGTCCACGATGTTGCTGAATTGCAACACAAGCATTTTTGAGACATTGATGCATTATTCAAGTTTGTATGGTTCATCATACGTCAAGGAGTCCAGGAAACCATTCTCACATAGTAGGATTTCTTTATCATAGGTTACCTCTGGTTGCCCCATCCAGATTTATGTTCTCTAAAGAACATGAGTTTAGGATGGTTTCAAACATATCCACTTCTTTTATAGGGTCAAATTCTCGTAATTTAGAGACAAATTTGCATAATTTAGAGAGAAATTCTCTCCACTTTTTCTATCATAATTCATATTGGCTCTCAACTCATAATGTGAGTGAACATTTACTTAGTAAATGTTTGATAAGCTTCGTGACAAAGCTCTAATCAAGATTTTCAGAGAACGTTTTCCATTTGAATAGGTTTTTACTTCTCATTGTGACAGGCTCTTTCTTTTGGGCTAAAAACTGTCTTTCAATCTTGGTATGACTATTTATTTTTGCCAAATATTCTGTTGTTATTTTCATAATAGACGTAAATTCGTTCTTTTCTCTAAATCTTAACCAAATATTTTCAAAGTGTTTTTTTTAAAATAAATTCAATCTCCTGTTTGTTTTGAAATTTTCAATTTAAAACCTTTGGGATAGTAATATCACCAAAACAAACGGTTTCTGATGCTTAAGATTTTGAGATATTCTTATCATTTGATTTTTCCATTTTCTTTCTTTCAAGATTTCGTCCTTGAGGCTTTGACTTCGAAACTCGAATCATATATGCCATTTCGTGAGTTAACACGTTTGGAAGAGTATTGGTTGATCATGTATTATAATCAACAACAAATCAAAAGTTAGCAAACCATTGCCTCCATTATAACAATCTTCCTTTGCTCATGCACTTGTTAAAATTGAATTCATAAAAGTTATGAAATATTTGCAATCAGTTTTAATAAGGAACCTTTGAGGCCGGCCTTATTAAAATTTTAAAATTAATCAGGTTATTTTTCATAGCAATGATTTTTTTTCTTAATTAGAGTCTAGTACGTTTAACTCACTTAGCTTAAATGTTCCTGAAACATACTTACAAACTTTTTCTAGAATAGTGTCTAAACTTCTAGTTTTCAGGATCCCACCCTAGTTTGTACCTGAATATCTGTTTCGACTGTTAAAAGTTATTTTTTTCTAGGGATTTTTAAGCTTTCCAATTTGTTGGCTAAGCAGTTATCTCTTTTACTTGCTATATATCACCTTGATTAAACACCCACTTTTATCCGTCTGTAAGTTTTTTAGCTAGGCTTATAGTGTATTGGGCTATATTTGGGAGATAATCTCTGGTATAATTAAGACATTGTAAGAATCTTTGATGTTGCTTAACATCTTTAATTTTATTTGAAAAATCATTGAGCTTTTTTAAAACGTGGTTGCAGTATGATCTTTCCTTTATCTATAGTTAGATGTAAGAAGTCTATTATTTCAGTTCCAAGTATCTTTTTTGATTTACTAACAATGATGCCGTGCTTTTTTATGGCTTGAGCCAATTTAGATAGATGTACTATATGGAATTTCTTATCTTTTAAAAAGACAAGAATATCATCTATATACACTAAACAATATTATGAATGTGGACTAAAAATATTTCGTCAATTTTTCTTCAAAAAAAATTGGGTGCAATTTCTAATCCAAATGCCATAATTAATTTTAGGTTCCCAAATGCGGTTTTGTAAGTGTGCGGGCATTAACATCTAGAAATTTGCTTGTGTATAATATAGTGTAATAGAATTAACACCTTGTTGGTCTCATATTTGAATTAGGGTTTGCCTTTTTAAATGTCAAAAAGTTGTCACGTGTCCATTTATGCGATCTTCAAGTGATTCTAGTGTACTCAGTGCATTACAGAGGTCTACAAGGGTAGTATTGTCATTTTACGTTCATCATATATAATTTCAGGTAGCTTAAGGAACCTACATTGTGTTGGCAGTTCA